CCTGTACATGATGTGGGGCCAGAGGGTAGGAAATACCTGAGGGCAAGGCATAAGGGAGTGCAGGCCTGGGGTGGGGGGGGCCTTGAAAGAGGGGCTGATGGAGGAGGCTGCCCCAAATTTCTTGCCTGAGCAGGTGAGCCAGCTGGACAACCACAACCCCTCCTTGCCTCAACCTTATTGCCAATATCTTCGTACCATCTGAAAAATGACATATGATGATTAGGTCACTTAAGGACCTTGGGCATGCATTTGTATGAGTTACTGTAGGTAAATTACAGCGAGGCCAAGTGCACATGGCTGGAAAGATGGTGAAAGTGTCCCTGGCAGAATTTTAGACGTTCCCCTAACAGCAAACCTCCCACAGGAGATTCTTAAATTCTTCCATGCCATCCAATAACAGGTGTTAGAATCAATTCCTCCTTTCATTTTGGGTATTTGCAGGTACTTGAGAAAACTCGATTCCCTTCCTTTAAGAGTAGATAGTTGAATACCGCAGTGGATGGTCCTGGTAGCATAGATGTTAGTAGCTGAACAGTCAATTTTGAAATACTTGGCATTGATTGAAATGCCTTGTCCTGATTTCTTGCAGCAGTGGCTGGCTGGCAATACATATAGCGAGCGACAGTTTTTTTCCCTTTCTTTACCTGTGGCACAGGGGTGTTTAAATGGGAAATAGATGGGTCAAAATTGACCCTGCTGAGGCCACAAATCAAATATGGGTCCTAATTGTATCTTATTGATTGTCTTTAATGAATTTTGATAAAGTATAGTGTAGTGGTACCTTCAGTTATGTAACTTATTTTAAGAAAATTTAGAATCATGTCTATTTTAAAATGTACATATTTCTAAAAAACGTGGTAATATAAAGATCATAGTCATTACCTTAATGCACTCAAAACTTCTTGAAGGCTGCAAACACTGCTATATAGGTTCTGGAAGAAGTGACTGAAGGAGGGAATCACTGGGCACCATGCTGTGCTGGAAGCCTTGGTGTGGGCAGTTGCATTGAGAAGAGTGATCTTTTCACTTCAAGTGATCCTTTCCCACACAGGATGCAGGAAGCAGCTTGGGCATCTATTCAAGAAATGTTGGGAAGCAATTACTACAGATGTTAGTCAGAAGGATTACCTCAAGAATATGGCTACAATGTAAGGATTTTTTAAAATCTAGAACTAAAATATGTTGGGATTTGTGTGTCAGCTGCAGGCCAGTTGATGATGCACTGTCAGAGGTGCTTTCTTTTGAATGAGACATTAAACTGAAGCCACATTTGTTCTGCCCCACAATTGGATGGAGAAGATCCTTTGCTTGGTGCACAAGGCAGCCTGCCAGAGAGTTTGTACGCAATGTCACATAGCATAGGGAAGTCCAGCTGCAATGTTTTTAAAGCTTTGTGCTGGGTATAATGTTGTCCAACATCGTCAATTCCATCAGTGTCATGGTGGAGCCAAGTGTGAAGGATCTTCATGACAGCATTGGTGGTTCCATGATAGCACAAACTGATGCCATGCAAATTCAGACAGTTGCCACCTTGGCTTTGAGGCCACTATTGAAATAGGCTTCCAGGCTGTGGCATCATTCCTACATTTCCTTTCCGAGCAGAACTGGAAAAATGCTGAACTGCTGCCCATGGAAACAGCTGTTCTCCTACAGGAAGAAAGCACTGTTGCCACCAGTCCCTGTTGTGTAAGGGCTTTAGGATCCTAAGCACCCTTGCAATGATGTCATGCAGTTGTTCACTAGGTATAAATAGCACAGTGTGAGTGGTGTTAAGAAAACATGCAAAGAAGCATATGGAGAAGACCAACTAGCATTAGGTAGCAGATTTTATGGAATTGTCTTTCAAAAATGCAACAGTCTGGCATACTGTTGAATATCTTATCCTGTAGAAATTAATTTTATTAAGTAATAAAGAATGTTATAAAGAAGACCAAATCTTGCCTTCTCATTGATGACTCCAACTTTAACACAAACTCATGGTTATGGTCATTAAACCACACAACAAAAGACATATCAGTCACTTTACTAGTGCCCTTGCAAGTTCCATTCAGCCAACTGGGCTTGACACACCAACTTTTTACTTGGAGACTGGTTCTTGGAAAATGGTCAAATGTTAGCTGGTGTGCTTAATCAGAGTATTTTCATTATTCAACTATACGTTACAATTTTCTCAGTGCAGCCAAATCTCTGGGTTAAGTGGATTCGAATTTCTCTTCTCACCCTTGAACTCTTGGATAGGCACAAGGATGATAGTATAATGTAGGGTATGCAGGGTAATTTGATTTTAGTAGGATAATAGGTCGGCACAACAAAGCCATGATGACATTTTGGGAAATATTCAACATGTGAATGCTCTTTCAAGCTGTGGTTATGGAGTGGTGTGAAACTAACACGTGGCGGTCATTGGTTGAAAAAGCCTACCAAATGAGTTAATTGTATACATCATAATTATCCACAATCAGACAAAAGGAAAATCTTTTAATAACTAGTTTGACCTTGCTTTTACTGTCTGCAGGGTCACAGATCAAAACTATCAATACTTGAATGCAAAGCTGTTGCAAAGACATTTGATTTGGAAAGCAGAAACACTTGCATTGCAACAGAGCAGCTGCTCCTTCCAGATTTGACCTAGACTATTTTCTTCCAGCGGAATAAAGGGAGTGTCTTATGCTATATCTGATCTGGGAGCACACATTGTTGGCACTAAGTGCCAAATATTAAAATTTTCCACACCCCAACACAATCATTTTCTACTTGAAATAAGAACTTTTGATTGTCTTTCTGCTCATAGTGTTAGGCCTGCTGAGTATTTCCAACACATTCCATTTTTATTCCTAATTTTTTGCAGTTGATTACTTTCCACTTCTCCCTCCACCCAAACATCTGACTCATTTATGAGTAATACCAAATCAGCCTTGAATATAGTACAGAGCAATATGTTTATTTCAACAATACATTACACAGCGACTGTGCCAACAGTTTCGTAATCACATATATTAGCTTGTCAGTACGATGTAATTGTAATGTGAAGACATTGGAAAGTACACATAAAATTCAAACTCTTGCATTCAATATCTGTAATAAGCAACTATATAAATACAACCGTAGGACACTTCAGCACACAAACAGGCATTGTTTTCAACCTTACTAAATGCATGAATATGTTCTCAGTAACCTAGCTGAAGCTGAATTGTGATTAGTTACTACATAGGAACTTCAGTGAAATAATTAAACACAGATTGCAGCACCAGGATTTTAAATTTCACTAAAATAAGTTTAAATTATATAGATTCATCTTTTTTCAGTTTTTTTCCAACTTTTTGTTTTTGATTTAGAATACAGCCTTGAAATAAATGGAAGAACTCTAAAATATTAGGTGGATGTGCACAGATTAGCCTAAAAATTCCTGAGGGGACACATCAAAGTTCTGTCCATTTACACACTCATTCTGTCAGTGCTAAATTACATTCAGCTTTCCTACCCACTTCAATAGCATATACCCAATGTAAACATGGGCATAATTATATGTAAATCAAACAAGAAATCAACATTAACAATGGAGGCTGAAGGAAATCTCTAAACCCGCATCTTATACTCTCTCTTTGTATGTAAAAAGCAAATTTTTAAAAACTCATAACCATCGTATGTGCTTATTAGGCTTCATTATATTTAAGAAACTGCAAATGGAGAGGCTTTTTAAAAGTTTCAATTTGACTGATATTGTACCATGAAAGGCACAGAAACAGATACCAGATACAGAACATTTCTTTTCAAAGAAGTTAATGAGAATTATGAAAAAATTTAAGTTCCTCCTGCACTTTCCACTTCAGTCATAATTTGATGAGATCAATCCTCAGTCCATACCTTACCAGCTTTGGTGCTTTACTCAGCAACCACATCAGGAACTATAACAAATGATAACTTCAAAAGATTCTAAAACCACTGTGCCCTGCTATGCGCTGATCATCCTGGCTCATAACTCAAGACCAGGATGACAGAATCTGGTTTCATTGCAAGTCAGAGTCACAGCTATTTCTTCGTCAGGAAAGCACTGCTTATTTCAATGTGTGACCTTTAAAAATAACTGGCTTACTATGAATGATTGACAACATGAATATAGGTGATTTTAAAGTATCTAAGTGACAAAGTTGTGCAATATCTTTGTATAATGTGAATAGACATTAGTATAAATAATGTGAATGTTTATTCTTAAAGGCCCACTAAAAGGAGTGAAAAAATTAAAATACTCTGTGGAATAACATTTAATTCTGAAGGAAGGTCACGTAATTCAGAGATATCATGAAAAAGGTGCAAGTTCTGGACATGAACCCTCACTTACAATTCTGACCAGTTGTATTCCAAAAGTGATTTATCCAGGGATTAGTAGTACATGAACCATTTTGTTCCCACAGAGAATTTGTTCACTTCTGGTTCCCTTTATCCTTAGAATCTTTATTCCATTGCTGGAACAAATATTTATCTTGTTTCTTTGAAGAGAGTCAACAGTGTGTAGTCCACAGGAGATCATACCCTGTGCATGAAATGGCTGTGCACAATTTACTTTGCTTGCAAGATATATAGGTTGCTTTTCATTCTTTTATCTATTTGCCATATCTCTATGAATAATTCACTATTGAGACATACTATATTTGATGTAAAACACAAAATAAAGAAATTAGTACAGTGCAAATAATGCAGTCAAATTTTGAGTGACAATTCAACCATGCCAAACTGGTATTGAATTAAGGTCTCTTTGCATCACAAGCATTGTGGAAAATCGAACAGTTCACAATAAAGCAACTTTCTAAGAAGTGTACTGGAAAATTAACTGCCAGGTTATCTGATAATTTTCAAATATTTAGTTTGAAAATCATAAAAGGAAGCAACCAAATTCCTTTCAGATTTTAGAAGCAACGCCCCCCCCCCCCCCCGCCCTTATGAAAACTCACTGTGTTGGTTGCTTGATTAGGAGCTAAAGCATTGTACTGCATCAACTCCATTCTAACCAATGCAGCATCAAGTGTGTTTCATCGTATCAGAACTGCCCCACAGATGTATCAAGACTTTCTTGACTTATTGCTGAAATAGCAGTAAATTTCCAATCTTTAGCACAAAGCACCCCTAGAGGATGAACACTGATAGGGGAATTTCTGTTCATCTGCTGCTAATTTGATGTAAGAACTGTGTAAACCTGAAAAATGCATAAATATATTTTTCAGGATTCCACAGACTTTTCTATATTAGTACCACTGACAAGGAGGTGAAAAGTCATCCCTTAGTTTTCTCCAATATTTGAACATCCCTGTTAGTGCACGGATATATAAGTGACACATCAGCAAAATACCTAAAGCATTGATGGTAAAGGTAATTAATGTGCATTATCTCCTTAGTGATGAAAACTTAATGCAATACTTTATTGTGGTGTACAGCTTTCTGAAGGTTCAGCATAATTTTCATGCTTTGGTAAGATCTTTGCTAGCTATGGGGCACTTCAGTTGGTACACAAAAAAGTCCTCATCCACCACAGCTAACAGCTATGTTGATTGCAGGGTTTTATGCCTTCAGGAATACAGAGAGACCTTTTCAAGCATTCTTCAGTCAGTTTCCTCATAACAACTGATGTATGTTAAGGAAATCACTGCACAGAAGGTTGAACAAGGTGCTCATGTGTTACAAATTATAAGCAGAACTATTTAAAATAAAAATTAATGAGACATTAGTTAGATTACTTACAAAGGATCATTTTTTGAAGCTGTTCCTGGAATGCAAAATCATGCAAAGAAGCCCAAGGTTGTCTCTAATTGAGTTACAGTGCAGACAGAGCTCCTAAAACTGCCAAAGGGGTGTATTCTGTGTCCATCACAATTTCTGCAAGAAAAATGGATGGCATCCATTTATCAGGTAATTAGTCTACTCATTCTGGAAATTTGCTCATCCTCTGCCAAAGTTATCACGGGACATTGGAGAAGTTCGGTTGAGATTTGAGGCCTTAGGAGTTTGCAAATAAGTTGTATGAGTTTTCAGTAACAGGATGCAATAGAAATGTTCTTATTGTGGAACGTAAAAGCAGACTCAAAATTTTAACTGCTTCTATTCTTGTAAAACAAAATACCTCATGGCACCAACAGATTGGAAGACGTGTTAGCAAGTCTTGTCAAGTCTCATTGATGACAAGAAAATTGAAAAAGAATGGTGGATTGTAGATAATATTCATGAGGCAGACTGAACTCCAAATAGGCTTCAAAATAGACAGGCAAAAATTATGCATCTGTCTTCACGGAAATTAACTATTTCACAAAACTTCCTTTGTATTTATCAGGAAGAGACCGATGCTTAATTTCATCAGAATGATATTGAATGCCAATGTGATAATGATGGAGTTCAATGAAATTAAATATATTACATCGTGCATATCTAAAACAAAGAAGCATTTGGGAAAATTGTTTTCATTAAAGAAGTTAAAGTTCTAAATGGATTGTTTTCCAAATTATCGCGAATAGGTTTGACAGCAGGACAGCCAAAAATGGATTAGCAGTATTTAGTAATCCATTCACTCTGCAAGTATAGGATTTGTTATGTGTTATTGACAAGGTAACTAATAGAAGACATAGATGGTACATTACTACTGTATTTTATAATATGACGTATTTACCTTGTCTCCACTGCGTACCTTGTGCTCATACCAGTGGTATTATTGCTTCAATGCTCAGGATATGGGGACTGTGACAGGATGGAAAAATTCAAGCTAACTCCTGCTCTTGTTCGTTGGAAACTTAGACATCGTGCACTTTTGGACTTATTTTTCTCTAGCACATGACAGGAGTTGGTTTGAATGGTCCAAGTACAGCCATGTCTGTGTGGAAATATTTCTAGGTGGTTAGAGAATTTAGCAATAAGGCTTTGCAGACATCCACTTCACTTTGTCATTTGATTAGGCATCCTTTCCTACCCTTTACGTCAATAAAGTTTGTGTTGTTATTGTCTTAATAGGCACAATTAGCATGCAAAAACTCTACTAAGCTTATATGTTTACCACAGCTAGTGAAAAAACTGCATCTCTAAATGTACCAACCTTTTCATCGACAATAAACATCTGTGATCTACAATAAAAAGAATTCTGATAGTAAATTATATGGACCTTTGAAAGATAACAAATACAAGAATAGATAACAAGTGAAAATCAATATCTTAGTTGGGAAAAAAGTTCCAAATATGCTTTTGTACCAATCATGTGATTTAGTATCACTCCTTTGCAGACTTTTACTGGCATCACGCCAGCAATACTCTCAGCATGTTTTCTAGTGCGGAGGCAGACATGAGACAAGCAAATTCTCAAAACCTTCTCAAGTTCTTAAAAGCAGAAACAAGTGACCTGCTTGTGTTATTTTTAATATCACAATTTACATGTTATGGCCATACAACTCTTAGCTATCTATCTGTTATTCCCACCCACAGTACACAAGTGGTAAAATTTGGAGATCTTCTTTGTATCACTACTGATGATAACCCAGGCAAAGGCAGTAAGACAGGCAAAGCGCTGCTGAAGTGAACCAGGATACAATAAGGCAAAATGGCGAGCAGCAAACAAGAACCATTCAAGTGATAAAACATTTGACTGTTCCCAAGTCTAGGTGACATGACTGATACTACTTTCCATGTAATACTGCCCGGTAAAAAAAAAATATCAATTGTGATAAACCGGATTACACAGCAATTGTTGGTGAACATATGAGTGGTTTTTATTGTGCTGGATCTATAAAGATTTTTGATAATGACCAGCCAAGCTTAGAGCCAGCTCCGCACGAGGCAAATGGTTCAGGTTAAAGATGGGTCTTCAGGGAACTATGGTTCAGTGTCCTATGAATAAAAAGAACAGAATAAAAGATTAAGAACAGATTTTCTTTAACATATTACTTTAAAAAACAATTACAATGGAAACTCCATCATTCATTATTCTGAAATCCAAAATCCCAATGATCACACGGCAATACCTTGCACAGCATTACATACTTTTCCATTACTTCTTTTTGTGAACAGAACTACATAATGCTGGCAATTTTTATGTGTTCTAATCACAGCAGAACAAGAAATAGCACCCCCATGTACTATTTACCTTAGCATGTCATGCTGTGGATAGAGTCTCACATAAATTACAAGATTCAGCATGTCTCCAAATTTAAATATCTTAATGAGGTTTCTTTATTCATTCATGGGATGAGGGTGTCGCTGGCCAGGCAGCATTTATTGCCCATCCCTAATTGCCCAGGAGGCAGTTCAGAATCAACCACATTGCTGTGGGTCTGGAGTCATATGTCAGCCAGACCAGGTAAGGATGGTAGTTTCCTTCCCTAAAGGGCATTAGTGAACCAGATGAGTTTTTCCCAACAATTGACAATGGATTCACAGTCATCATTAGATTCTTTATTCCAGATATTTATTGAGTTCAAATTCCACCATCTGCCATGGTGGGATTTGAATCCAGTCCCCAGAACATTTATCTGGGTCTCTGGATTAATAGTCCAGCAATAATACCACTAGGCCATCACCTCCCCCTAGTGGATAGCAAAGCCTCAATTTCTCCCTCAAGTTGGCACTGTAAAAGAGAAACAATGCTCATACTTCCAAAGTTTTTCATCAAGTAGAAGAGTCATTTAGCTGTAAACTGTCCAAGATGGTTTTACAAAACAAGTTTATTAGTAAAATAAAAAAAGTCTACGACCTGAATTGTGCTTGGATCACCACATATACTTTTGAACAATCCCATAGATCTAATTTTAATTTGAGGGGAGAGATCATCCTCACTGTTGTGAGGGTTGAGCTGTTTTAACTCCTTGATCTCAAAACCACATTTCTAAGTGCATCTCACTCTCCAGCTCATGAGGAATGACCTGAAGGCTGGTGGGTGAGAGTGAAGTGAGCACATCTATAAGCTGTAGTGCATGGTGATGGAAGAACCATGCAGTCAGGTAAGAGAATTGGGAAGGCGCAGGTATCAAATGCAATTTCCTTTAGGGTAGAGGCAGGTTTTGATGTGGGGTCCAATGAAGTACTCATTCTCCTTCTGGTCACTATTAAAAAAAGAAGAAAGTCATTGCAATTACCTTTATGGTCCTCTTTTTGGTCTGTATGACGCCGAGTTTCCTGAGTAGGCTGAAGCACTGAACATGCAACAGTATGTTAAAATCTCTTCACGACAGGGGTCAAAATATATATTTTTTAGGGATCCTTTTAAATTTTTCTCAAGGGTTACTTTTTGGTTTTCAGGGTCTCCTTTCACCTTCTTATTTACTCATTCATTAGATGATGTATTTGTGTTGACATAGATGGTATTTGGACTCAGACAGGATGAGGATAGGAATAAGCTGTTAATTTCCTAGACACCACAGTATTTGAAAAGGCACAAGTCAATTGATAAAATTTAGAAACAAATAGCTTTCTAAACTAAAATGCCACACACATCTAAATACAATGGCCATCAGCCTATGTACTTTTTTCATGGATTAGTGAGGTCAATGCTAATTCGTTACATGTTTGTCTCTAAAGCAGTCACTGCAATGATAGCTTTCTACCTACAGTTGATGTGTGACAGTAGGCAGCAAATCATGCAGGTTAATACCTGGCACTCTGGCAGTGATCGTGATGCCTATTCTATGGCAGTGCCAGGCCATTTGATTCATCGTAGCAAACTGAAAAAATGGCAACTCAGCACTTTGGGCCATCTACTGACCACCTGCCTCATGACACCAATGCAGAACTCATGCACACGTGTCTGATGTACATACAATGGAGCTGTGCGATCACACATAATGTGCTTCAAATGCCTAGACCAGTCTGCAGGAGTCCTACAGTATATGGCAGAGCAAAGTGTCAGGATTCATAATGATCAGCTCCATATCGCCCAATCTTGGCATCATATAAGCATGACCCTTACCTCTCGCTATATGGCAAATGGGTGGGGAGTGGAAGCATGAGGAGGAGTGGGAAGGACAGGAAAAAAAAGAAGGGAGGAGACAACTTAGACGGCTCCATGTGTGTGTGTGAAAGCATGTGGTATTATTGTTTTTTCATCATCACTAGCATTTTGGGGTTCAGCCACTGCCAGGTTGCTCTTCATAGGCATCTGAAATGGAAAGTGGTACATGGATAAGGCTGTGGGGCATGGAAGGGTTAATAAGAGCGGTGTGCTTACAAAATCAGAAGAGCACATAGAATGAGGGAAAGGTGAAATGTGACAAAGATTATGAATCAGCATAGGATCAGCTTTGATGTTGTGGGCCTGAGTGCTGCCAATACTATCAGCAATGTCCCCAACCCCACCACCAGCTTAACTATCAGCCTCTGGGTCTGGATGGGATGCTCTTTGAAGAGTTGATGTGGACTTGTTGGGCCTAATGGGCTGTTTCCACACTGTTGGGATTCTATGGAATTCTATGGCTATCTGCTCCGACAAAAGAATGCGTCTGGACTCGGGCCCCCTATAATACTTCTCCTTATCTTCCACACATTCCTCCTTGAAGTCCACTCTCTACAATGTCGAGACATCCTAGGTCAGATTCATATCCTGTACAAGTGCCAGTACCTGTTCCAGCCAAGTGCTCCTGCCCTTTAAGAAGTGCAGGTTAACTCTAAGTAGTGCAGTGAGGTTTCAGTGGTGCCGGGAAGTTCTGATTTTGGGCCCCTTGCTGAGGTCTGCAGGCAATCAGCAGGAAGTTAGTGCAGTCAGCTTCTCGGATTATTTCAAACAGATATAGCTTATCCTGCACGGTGACCTGTGAACACGGTGATCAGGGTTTATCCAGTCTTCTATCCACTTCTTAGGTAATTCCACAGAGCAGCCAGAAGGTGGTGTGTCTGTGCAGTAGCAAAGGATTTAATTGAATGTGTACTTAATTTGAGTATTCCATATTTTCTTAGTCAGCCAAGAGCTGATGACCTCCTCAGAATATTTCCTTCTCTATAAAATCACATTTGTCTTCATCCCTGACTTTCTGAAGTTTTGCCTGTGACTTGTTGTTCCCTGGTGGAAATAAAATGTAGAGTGCGATCCTGCTTAATGCTTCAGTACCACATGGTCCACTGGTTGAATTAAAGTCATTTGCATTATTGTGACCAGAACTAAAAATAGGGCATCTACAGCTCTGTTCTGCTCTGAATCGTGTACATACATCAAAACATCATATGATTGGCATACGAGCTGAAGACCATAAGAACTTGAAACAAGAGTAGGTTGTTCAGCCTCTCCAGTCTGCTCTACCATTCATTAAGATCCAAAAATTCTTCACATCCACTTTTCTGGCTTTTTTCAATAAACCTCGATTTCCCTACTCATTAGGAATCTACCTATATCAGCCTTAAATATACACAAGGACTCTAACCCCACAGCTCTCTGTGGCAAGGAGCTCCAAAGACTCGCAACTCTCTGAGAAGAAATTCCTCCTCATTTCATTCTTAAATCGGTGCTCCTTTATTCTGAGACTATGCCCTCTGGTCCTCGTCTTTCCCAAGAAGGGAAACATCCTCACAATATTTATCCTGTCAAGCCCCTCAAGAATCCTGTATGTTTCAATGACATCACCTATCAATTTTCTAAACTCCAGTGAATAGAGACCAAATCTGTTTGGCCTTTGTTCATTAGACAATCCCTCCATACCAGGGATCATCCTCATGAACTTTCTATGAACTGCATCCAGTGAAATGATATCTTTTCTTAAATAAGGGGAACAAAACTGCTCACAGTACTCCAGTTGTGTTTTCATTAGCACCTCGTCCAGTGGCAGTAAGACTTTCCTACTCTTATACTCCATCCCCCTTGAAGTAAGGGCCAACATTCCATTAGCTTTCCTGATTACTTGCTGTACCTATGTGCTGGCTTTCTGTGTTTCATGCACAAGTACCTCCAAGTTGTTTTGTGTTGCAGCTTTTTGTAGTTTTTCTCCATTTAAATAACATTCTATTCTTTTGCTCTCCCTTCCAAAATGTACAACTTTCGCATTTTCCTACCCCCCATCGCCTATCAATATGCAACTGGGTAGAGTTCACACATCTCTCAAGGATGCTCACTGAAGATAGCTGAGGTATTCCAGTCCACAATAACACAATAGCAGCGTGCTTGAAAAATTCAGACAATGAGGCTTGGAAACCTCGATTCAGTGAATGTGTTTGAGAAAATCAGCAGCCAGAACAAGGATTCAGCTTCAACAGTGGCACAGAGAAGCCAGAAGGCTGCCACCACCAACAACTGCCTCACAGCAAGACACTAAAATAAAATTCCTGCAAAGGCAGCAGACCCCTGCGGGTTACTCTTGGCACAAAGATACAAGTCTTAGTCTCCAAAAGTTAAGGCAAGGTATAATCAGAAGCAGATCTTCAACAACACTTTATTCCTATCTGTAATACATCATTTGCTACTCTACTGGAAAAGTAACATATCACAAGGTAGTGTTTATGAGGAACAGACTACAACACTGCAGGTTTATAGCTTGTTGTCGTAATTCACTGACTAGGGCATCATTTCTTGTATATCTGTAATTGCCCTACATGGGGTGTGTAGAGCTGTCTGTTTGTAAAGCATAGAGTGGCTCACAAGACCATTTTCAGTATCTGACACATTGCAATGGATATGGAGTCAGACAGATTAAAGAAAGCAGCTTTCCTTCTCTCGGGAACCAGATGGATTTCTATGACAATCTGGTTGTTTCTTGGTCACCATATGTGAGTGTAGCTTTTTCTTCCGGACTTCTTTCAGTAGTTGAACTGTTGGGCCTCCCTGGAGATTGATGGCAGAGATCCTGCCCACTGAGAGCTGCCAACTCATCAGTGGGCAGCAGCTACCCAGTGCCAGCTGCTGCCAGTGGTAACTGCCCAATCTGTACCCAGCAGTGGTCCAGAAATGTTGTGGGACCCCAGAGCAAAGGGGCAGGGTGGTATTTGCAGGGTAGGGGTCACAAGAGAAGATGATCAGGAGGGTCAGCAGCAGAGGTAGGGGGTGTTGGAATCTAGTGGCATTACCTATCTTAATGCTTAGGTCCAATCATCAGCACAGCTTCCTGACTGTGACGGTCTGCATTCACTCCCAGGGGGTCACTGAGGAGCCCAACAGGGTATACTGGGCAACATTCTGATGTGGCGATACCAGTAGCAATGGAATCATACCTTTAGGTGAATCTCAAGTGTCCATTTGCGGGGCAGGCTGCTCCAAAGCCTTCTGGCCTCAGATGTAATCGGAGACATGCGCAAAGTCAATGGCACCTTGTCCCCAAACCTATCGCCTGATCACATGTCCACTCCCCCACCCTACCCAGAATACCCCTGGGGAGCAAATGCATTCAACTCCATCCATTGTGTTAAGTTTTGATCCCCTCACATCGCCCTGCAGAAGATCCAGAGAGAAGGGCAACTGAATTGATACTTAATCTTACATACTTTCAGTAACCTGTTTAAACCTGGGCACTGGGGCTTGGAAGGCAAGGATGACTAATTTGTTTGTTCACTATTAACCAGCACTTAACAAACCACAAAACTATTATTGTCTTGGTTTTCTGTGAGCAAATATCAGGCTAAAATTTTAAGGAATTAGAGATAAAAAGTGAACTATCCACAAACGCACAGAGTATTTACACATTAACTCAAAGTTAAAAATGACTAAAATTTCACATGATTGGGTAAATTGGTTCCAGAATGGATATTAGAAATAGAGCTCAGAAGTAACATTTCACTTGTCTAGATTTGTTCGGATAATTAATCTCAAATTGGTTCCTTCTGATTTCCTGCATTCAGAATTTCCTTTAGTCATTTATTTACAAAAATGCAGATGATCTGCTTTATATCAACTTAGTGGTACTTCTTTTTCAAAGAAGTTGTGACACATCGTGGTGTCTGGATGGGTTTGCTGCTTGTTTTACAGTAAGTTGGTATCCAAATATTTGGAAACTCCACAAATTGTCTAAATGGGCTGAATTTGAGTCTAGAATGGAGAAATGGGAGTTCTGGGGAAAGTAGATGAGTCTTATCACAAGAGCACCTCACTCACGTACTGGCCTTCAGTTGTGCTTTCAGTTCAGGAGATTTGAAAGTGACTGTGCGATTGTTCCAATCAGATACATGTTAATTAACAATATAACAAATTTCCCACACTCCATGAGAGCACAACACAATTCAG